ACGTTAAACAAAATAAAATAAAATAAAATAAAGTGAAATAGAAATAGAAATACCTGCGAGTGGCGAACGAAAAGGTGTCCTGCACAAGGACATGGGGCTAATGTTATTTTTATATTACCCGGGCTGGCTACTTAACCCAACCAAAGTGAGTCGTCCCTTTGTTTTTGGCCATGCATGTGTTTAATTTTAATGAAATTAACGCGTGTAATGGCAGCCACGCCCCCTCACTTTTTCGGGCCGCCCACTGTCCTAATCTGTCTGCCTCTCCTCGCTTTTGATGTATGTCATTTTTTCGCCCCTCAGTCTGGGGGCACAAACGTGTTAAATGTTAATTAAAAAGCACCAGCAGAACATATTATACAAAAAAAAGGACTACTGAAATGTGTACGTGTGTGTGTGTGTGTGTGTGGGGTGCCCAAGAACGAAGGGCTTAGAAGATTTTGGCCAAGACACGAGGCTTAGTGCAAGTTGTGCATCCCTTTATTTAACCATTTCTTTTCGCCTATTTGTATTTTTTGTTTCTATTTGTTCGCCTGGCCAAATCCTTTGGCAAATAAACATAAACACTCCTAATTAAGAGATGGCTTGTAAACTGGGCAAGTCTTGGGCTAATTGGCCGCTGTTCTTTTTGCCAGACGGCCGGCAAACAAAGAAACAGGTTAACAAGACTCACACGCAGCGGGAACCGCAGCTGAATCGCCCCATTTCTGCCTTTCCCTCTCCAAAAAAAAAAATAATATAAATGTCATCTTAAATATAATTTTCGCGTATTTTTCCCATGCCCACGTGCCGTTTGTTTAACCCCCTCGCCGTTTATTTTTTGTCGAGTCTTTTTGGGCCGGGCTAAAAAGAAAAGATTTGCGAAGCGGTCGCACATGTGAATGCGAGTCCTTTTCGTCCTTTTCGCTCCTCAGTTTGCAGCCTGCAGTTGCATAATTTTTGGGCGCACTGCATCTGTCGGAACTTGTCACTTAGCCTCCGCGATTCAAGTACTTTTAGATTCGGCCATAACGACCTGCAATGCAGGGTATTATAAAAAAAAATAAAAAAATTAGGCGGCAAATATTTGTAAAATAAGTTGGTTAAATATTATTGTGGATAATTTAGCAAATATAGAGCTATATGGGAGCTATAGTATCTATAGTATCATCTAGTAATTTCATTTATTTAACACCCCTTAAAAATGAAGAAAGGTCATTTAAAAAAAGAAAACAAATAGAATTTGCAGGAAAATATATATAAATTTAATTTGAGCAATATTTTTTATAATTTGTGTGCAAATAAAATTTTAGGAGCTATATATATAATTTTATATATGAACTAAAAATTAATTTTGTTTGAAATATGATTATTAAATTTGTAAAATAATTTATTTAATATTTTAAATATACTATGCTCCACACTTCCTTCAAAGTTTTCGTTTTAAAATGTTGAGAAACATTTGCAACAACCAACTCTTTATAAGTTTGGCTTTAACATTTTAAACTTTTATATACTAATCTATTTATTTATACGTGAGCATATATTCCTTAGCTGACTACTTAACTATATCGAAACTTAAGAATAACAATGAAAAAGTTTTACTAGTTGTAAGTTCTTAAGAACATATTTATTGTATTTAAGAATTATAGATTTAAGAATATCAGCTCAATATTTTGGAAAATAAATGGACTATAATAGGAAACTATGCAAAGAAATCTGGGAAATTATTTTCCCAGTCGTAAGGACACCACTTGCACCCTATGCATAAGTTCTCAGCCCGTTTCCCACACCCTCCATTTTCCTCCTCTCCATTTCCCATTTCCCAGGGAAAAACGAGCGACGAAGTGGCATAGGGAACTTGCCACATTGCGCGTTTGTTGGCGGCCGCAGATAAACGCATAAATGACGAGCTGAAATCTTCTTTATGTTGTGAGTGTGTGTGGGTTTTTTTTTTGCCCAACCAAAGCATTTCTTCAACCTGCTTCTCCACCTCTATCTTAAATGTTAAAAAGCATTTTTTGTTAAGCCTTTACCCAAAAAAAGAAAGAAGAAACCGCCGCCTGACCTGAGTTACTTTGTGTGAATGTGTGTGGGCGTTTTAAAAATTATAAGAATTTTCACTCAAGTTGGTTACTTTATCTCCAACATTTGTGTGGAGCATTTTTTTCACATTCGCTAGAAGATCTGCATGTTTCTCTTTGCCTTTTTTATTTTGGCTTTGTGCTGCGTATTTATTTCGCTAAGAATGTGTAAATTTCTACTTTGTGCTGAAGCTGCGGTCGCGACTTCTTGGCATATTTGTCCATACCAAAAATAATAGGTGAAGTTGTGTAAGACTGTAACTGGGAGGAAAATGCCTTTGAAAAAGTCTATGTTAATCAACTTTTAAAGACGCTCTGACAAATACAATTTTTCTTAGTTTTCCTTTAATTTATGAAAACAAACAAGAAATTAAAGTATAACAATAAAACACAATATTAACACCTTTTTATACCCTTGCAGAGGGTATTATAATTTCAGTCAGGACAGACGGACATGGCTAGATCGACTCTACTAGTGATGCTGATCAAGAATATATATACTTTATAGGGTCGGAGATGTCTCCTTCACTGCGTTGCAAACTTCTGACTGAAATTATAATACCCTCTGCAAGGGTATAATTATATAAAACAATTAATCTTTAAGCTCCATTGATCGTTTTTTGAGCACTCCATTGACAAGTCAACCATTTATTTATTTCACCTTTTGTGTAGCCATTATGAGTAAATAAAGTAAATAAAGTAAATAAAGTAAATAAAGTAAATAAAGTAAATAAAGTAAATAAATCTCAAAGGGGCGTTCTTAAGCTCCAGCAAACCAGCGACTTGCTCTTAATTGCAGCTAGTTGTTGAGATTATAGTGGGTATCTGGAAATAAGCTGGGTATGCACAATTAGTTTGTGTTGCGCTAGAAATTTACTTCCCATTTTGTATTTAAATTATGATTTTTAAGTCGAAAGACTAATTTCAAGTGTATTCCCGGTATATCCCGGATTTTAAATGAAGACCATAGACAAGTTTTCTTTTTTGCCAAGTGTATTTTTGTAAGTGTCTTTGTGTTTACAAATAATTGTGCCGGACACGAAGAGCAGGGACAAGATCCAACAGAATTGTGGAGGGTGGGATGGCTTAAGTTTTAGTGGTGCAGCTCAGTAGTTGACTCCAGTATTCTCCTTGTTGGACATCTGTTTTTTGAACTTTCAAGTGCTTTCCATCTGGAATACAAAATATATAAATGTAAAGTATTTTAATAAATAATTGTTTGGTTACTACTCACCATTTGTCCAGTCGATAATTGATTGATAACTGAACTGCACTGCAAGATACGGTTGATCCTCCATTCAACTTGTTTGCCATTCGGTTTAAGTGTTTAACAGGGAATTTGAAGTCTACGTTCTCGAGCCAGAAGAAAATATCAATATCATTCAGTCAGCAAGCTTTGAAATTTAATTCATATATTTAACATAGCAAGAAAAAGTTGCGTTAATATTATTTACTTACTCCATTGTTAACCACGTGTTTTGTCCAATCTCGTTTTATGTTTATTTGTTTGTTGGGTTTTGTTTATTAAGAAAGTGTTTTTTTCAAAAATGTTATTTAACACTTTATGCTTAAAACTAAATTTGGTTTTTTTTTGTATTGTTCAGAAGGCAATTTCCTGTGTGTTATTTCCCCGACATGGTTGTGTATACTGAACTCTGTAGGGACTGATGGGTGTAAGTAGAACTCGAAATTAAAAGCATGGATAGTTTGATCAAGAAAAAGGGAACAAATTTGAAATTTTCAGAAAATGAAAAGCCGATTGGATCAGAATATGATGAGGACATGATTAGTCCATGTAGAATTTTCGAAGTCCTTTTATATGAAACCCATATCAATAAATACACTTAATTTGCTTTCACATAACTATAAAACAAGAAAGGGAACAGGCTTAAAATGCAATTAAAAAAAAATTAAAAAACAGCAAAGCTATAATTTTTTTATACCCTTGCAGAGGGTTTTATAATTTCAGTCAGAAGTTTGCAACGCAGTGGAGACGTTTCCGACCCTATTAAGTAGATATATTCTTGATCAGCATCACTAGTAGAGTCGATCTAGCCATGTCCGTCTGTCAGTCTGTCAGTCTGTCCGTCCGTTTATATGCAAACTAGTCTCTCAGTTTTAAAGCTATCTGCATGAATATCTTTCCCAAAAGTTGTCTTTCTATTGCAGGTAGTATATAAGTCGAAACGAGCCGGATCGGACGACTATAGCATATTGCTCCCATAGGAACAACCAAAAAAATAAATAAAAAAAAAATTATAACTTTGCTGTTTTTTAATTTTCTTTTTAGTTCTTCGACATATAATAATGGTTAAGTATTTCAGAATTACGGTTTAAATTTCATCAAAATGGGACGACTATATCATATAGCTTCCATTGGAACAATCGGGAAAAAAAAACAAAAAAAATTATATTTTGCTGTTTTTCAATTTTTTTTTTAGTTCTTCGACATATAGTAATGATTAAGTATTTCAGAATTACGGTTAAAATTTCGGTGACAAATAAGTTAAGTGGCAGCCTCAACCAGAGAGCGGGAAAACAAGAGGCGAAACCCAAGAAAATAAAGACTGCCCCGGGGCTCTGCCCAGTATTACAACAATATCATCCAGTCAGCAGCAACAGGTTGCTATCCTTGGGAGTTGGGTAGACTCGACTAGGAGATACCATAGGTTTTGAAGAAGTTTCAGAATCGCATTTTAAGCCTGTTCCCTTTCTTGTTTTATAGTTATGTGAAAGCAAATTAAGTGTATTTATTGATATGGGTTTCATATAAAAGGACTTCGAAAATTCTACATGGACTAATCATGTCCTCATCATATTCTGATCCAATCGGCTTTTCATTTTTTGAAAATTTCAAATTTGTTCCCTTTTTCTTGATCAAACTATCCATGCTTTTAATTTCGAGTTCTACTTACACCCATCAGTCCCTACAGAGTTCAGTATACACAACCATGTCGGGGAAATAACACACAGGAAATTGCCTTCTGAACACTACAAAAAAAACCAAATTTAGTTTTAAGCATAAAGTGTTAAATAACATTTTTGAAAAAAACACTTACTTAATAAACAAAACCCAACAAACAAATGCTTGCAAGGACATAAAACGAGATTGGACAAAACACGTGGTTAACAATAGAGTAAGTAAATAATATTAACGCAACTTTTTCTTGCTATGTTAAATATATGAATTAAATTTCAAAGCTTGCTGACTGAATGATATTGATATTTTCTTCTGGCTCGAGAACGTAGACTTCAAATTCCCTGTTAAACACTTAAACCGAATGGCAAACAAGTTGAGTGGAGGATCAACCGTATCTTGCAGTGCAGTTCAGTTCTCAATCAATTATCGACTGGACAAATGGTGAGTAGTAACCAAACAATTATTTATTAAAATACTTTACATTTATATATTTTGTATTCCAGATGGCAAGCACTTGAAAGTTCAAAAAACAGATGACACTTACAAAAATACACTTGGCAAAAAAGAAAACTTGTCTATGGTCTTCATTTAAAATCCGGGATATACCGGGAATACACTTGAAATTAGTCTTTCGACTTAAAAATCATAATTTAAATACAAAATGGGAAGTAAATTTCTAGCGCAACACAAACTAATTGTGCATACCCAGCTTATTTCCAGATACCCACTATAATAATCACAACAACTAGCTGCAATTAAGAGTAAGTCGCTGGTTTGCTGGAGCTTAAGAACGCCCCTTTGAGATTTATTTACTTTATTTACTTTATTTACTCATAATGGCTACACAAAAGGTGAAATAAATAAATGGTTGACTTGTCAATGGAGTGCTCAAAAAACGATCAATGGAGTTTAAAGATTATTTGTTTTATATAATTATACCCTTTCAGAGGGTATTATAATTTCAGTCAGAAGTTTGCAACGCAGTGAAGGAGACATCTCCGACCCTATAAAGTATATATATTCTTGATCAGCATCACCAGTAGAGTAGATCTAGCCATGTCCGTCTGTCCGTCCGTTTATATGCAAACTAGTCTCTCAGTTATAAAGCTATCTGCATGAAACTTTTCCAAAAGTTGTCCTTCTTTTGCAGGTATAATATAAGTCGGAACGACCCGAATCGGACGACTATAGCATATAGCTCCCATAGGAACAATCGGAAAAATAAATGAAAAAAAAATTAGAACTTTTCTGTTTTTTAATTTTTTGTTTAGTTCTTCGACATATAGCAATGGTTAAATATTTCAGAATTATGGTTTAAATTTTATCAAAGTCGGACGCCTATATCAGAAATAATAAAAATATATAAAATAACTATCAAATAATTGAGCTGCAAATCATCATAGTTTCAATGTTTTTAAACATATACGCAAGTAAATCATAATTTTAATGTTTTCAAAAATGTTTAATTCTTGCAATAGCTGCAAGGGTATATGAACTTCGGCTTGCCGAAGTTTGCTTTCTTTCTTGTTTTTAATTTTTCCGCTGAAAAGATGAATGTGTATATGTATATTGTAGGTTTTAAAACCTGAAATTAAATTAAGCAGTAAAACCATATTGTTAATTTTAATCGCATTAATATTCAAATTTTAATATATTTCTTTTACATAGAGAATAAGTTATGGAAGTAAAATGCATCCAAAGAAGGTTATATTTTTACAAAATAAAATTCAATAACAGGGTAAAACTAATTCTATGACAAATTAGACAGATACTTTTACATACAACTAAAATTTTTGAAAAGCAAAATTATCTAGAATTGTTTTATGAAAAGGTTTATATGAACTAACTTATTTAAGCGATTAAGCAATTCGTATTTCATTAAAAATCTAACGCAAGTTAAAGCCACGTGACAAACTTGTGTGATCCCTATTCCTCGCTGGTTTTTTCCTTCATGTGGCGGGGAAATCCCCATTAATCGCATTGGTGTTTATTTAGCTTGTAATTACATTCATTTATTTACTTATTGACTGTGTCTGCGGCTCCGTTTCTGGACTCCCCCGCATAACTAACAATATTCCCGGGAAGTGGGCCCCCACCTCTGACCTTCGGTAAGCCACAGGGCGAACTGCCGGCCAACCCCCATTAAAAGCCAATATCTTTGGGCCCCGACAGCCTTGGCCAAATAAGAAAAAATGTCTTTGAATGACTGACAATCAATTTCGCTTGGCTGCAGCCTCCTTTGCGGAAGGACGAAGGACGTAGGACTAAGGACTCAGGACTTTGGCTCGTGTCGCCTTAACGAACGTTGAAAATTACTTTGACATAAGTTAATTAATCTTTGGCGCGCAAAGTTCGTGTTTGAAATATTGCATAGTCGCTGCAGAGCGACCGAAAAACAAAAGGACTCAACCGATGATAACCAGAAGAAGGACCTTCGTACTCACCACCACACAATTGAGGAACTGGCAGATGGCAGGTCGACTGTCTGAATGAAATATTTGTCAATGAGTATTGCTAATTTACAAGTTTGATTTGTTCGGCGTGCACGAACAGCCACTTCCTTTTTCCGCAGGACTTCTCCTTGACATTCGTTCACCGCTTTCATTTCTGGTCTTTCATTTCGGCCCCTGAGAATTTCCCGGGCATTCTTCTGGCCAGCCGTACATAAATAAAATCGTCCGTACTGGAGATGCAGGAAAATGTTTTCCGGACAATCCGACTTAGGTGTCCGGAAAATTCCGCTGTTCGACTTTGCCGGCCAAATGAGGAAATTCCAAATGGACTCCGCCTGTGATTGAGTGATTTAGCATGAAGCTAGTTTGGATTTTAGTTGGCTTTTATTTGAAGGAAGCATTCCCAGACTTCCCACAAATAAATGTATAGAAAACTAAAATGGAATTTCGTTAAATAAAGTTTTGTTATATCTTAAAAATTTATTAAAAATGTATTTGATGGAAGTATTCCCAGATTTCCCACAAATAAAAATATAGTAAATTAAAATGGAATTTGGTTAAATAAAGAAACTGTCTTAATTTTGGTTTAGCTTAAAAATGTATTCTTACAAAATTGTTATTTAAATATCATCGTGCGTAAGTTTTGATTTGGATACAAGTGAAATTGAACTACAATAAATTATATCCTATGAATCTTACATTTAAGTTTGTTTATCCTTATGATCAATAATGTATTTTTACATTAATTTGAAGGTGCAGTTAGTTTCCTCACTTAATATTTACCTATGTAAACTAATGGTTTATTTGATAAAATAATATAACATTTTAAAACTGTAATAAAATGTATGGTCAAATGATACACATGTTTAGTCTCCGCTTTCAATATTCATATTCTAAAATAATAACACACTATAAACAATTGTATGCACACATAACGTTCAGCATTATCCCTGCCCATTGAAATCATTTTCGATATCCTTGAAGCTGACCGACTCAATGGGCCTTGCCATATGTGTAATCCTTGCGAAATCCTTGCCCCATCCTTGGGCGCCACTTTCAATGGATCACCAATGTCCTTTACCTTTTCCCTTAGCCCGTCTCACTTTTCCCCTCCGGCAATCCCATTTGTGCCATCTCCGATGTCCAAGAGTTCCGGGCAGTCATTTCTCATACAATTGCCACTGTCATTTCGTAGCAACTTGTAATGGACTTTAATCAATTAATTTGAAAACGCTTTTCATTTGGCTATCGCAGGGGGTGGGCGGTAAATCGGGGAGAGAAATGCAGAGACAATGGCAAAAGTAAAGTGTCTGCCTGGTGGCTGGCCACTTTCTTCTGCCAAAAGGACGGAAATACATGGCAAGCCGATGCCAAAAATGTGGATGGGCAAGAAAAAGAATAAATAAACAACCGAGCCAGGCGTTTGGACCGGGTTCAGGGCCAAAAACAAGGGGGCGGTCCGGGGGGCGGGGACATCCAAAAGGGCTCCAAGGCAGGACAACAAACGCACTTAAAACACAATGATGCTCATTGTGTCTGACAGGCAGACGAACGGACCCATGCAGGAGCTGCCCCCTCCCCTCCCCTCGCTTACAACTCCTCAATCCCCCCAGTCTCCCGATTCAGATACTATGGCTATAGCTATTGCTATTGCTATTGCTATTGCTATATAGCTGATGCTGATGCTGATCCACCTAAGAAGACGACAACGACGATGTGGCGTCGTCTGCTTTGCGGCTCCTGCTTCCACTCGAAAAAATTATAACTTTAATATAGATATATTACTCAAAATAATTATATAAATAATTATATTCATGATAAGATAAATATAGTAATATGTATAATAAAACAGCAATAAAAATGCATTATTATAACAGGCAAAAAACGATAGCGTGCGCAGTTTTAAATAATCAGATTTATACAAACGCCAAAATCTTTTTAAGGAAATTTTTTGATTTATTGTTATTGTAATTACAAACTCTTTACGTAAAGTTTTATATAAATCTATGTCTTAATTAAAGGGTTTTTTTCGGTATAAAATATTTGTTAAAGAAATTCCTTTACAAAAACCATTTTTTTTCGGTGCTTTAATTTAACTTTTTTTTAAAAATATGAATTAACATAGTGCGATATTATTGATCATATATTTAATATTAAGATCTATTTTCATTTAACTAACTACACTTTTAAACAATAAAAATTTGAATATAATAATAGCCTAACTTTTTTAAATAAAATATAGCATATATAAAACAATTTAGTTAGCGAATCGTTTTTCATTAGTCCTTTTATATTTTCATTAATATGTATATGTATTTATTTATCATTAATTTTTTTGAGGTTTATTAGTTTGAATTTATTCGAGTGTGATATAGATGGACATCGTGTTGTGAGATGGTGACTCCTGCTCCCTGGCATTCGAGCACTTTGATTACGCATTGGCTTTGTCCCGGCTCAGACTTTCCCGGAGACTCTTTCCTTCGGATTTTCCGCTTTTTCCGCTGCCTTTTCCATTCCGTTCCCTGGCATTCCGTTCCTATTCCGTTGTCGTTTTGCCACTTCAGTTTGATTTCGTTGCGTTCTGAACTTCTTTGGCTCTTTTTTTTTGGGCTTGAGTTTGAGTTCGAGCTTCAGTTTGGATTTGGATTTCGGTTTGCCTTTTTGTGTCGCCTGGCCATTGTCCTGCCCTTTGTTGTCCTGTTTTTGGTCACGCACTTTTCCGAAGTCAAGTGGAGGCGGGAAAATGGCCAACAAGGGAGTTTGGCAAATGCCAGGGAAAGAGGCCACTTGAGCGGCTCATTTTGTACTTCATTGAAGACAAATTAGTGTCGATGAAGATGGAGCCTGTTTGGGATGGAGTCTCATGTTTTTGCAGATGGTGAGTTGAAAATCGGTAGCTGGTAGGGGTGTTGCATTTATATTAAATGGGTTAATTTAATAAGTTAAATTATTAGGCATACCATATGTTCAAAGGGGTTTTTAAAATAAATATCCCGATTATCTTTTATTATTTTAATCAGAAATAGGGAATTAATGATGGAAGTCCTGTGATAACTAGTATTCAAAAACTATATCTCACAGTAAATTTAATACAGATCAATGATAATACCAATACTATAATAATAATTCATATTTTCTTTAGTTTTAATGACAATTGCTATGAGTTCTATGGATTAATTCCTCTATCAAAAATTTTTTAACTTTATTTAAAAATTGGGAAATCTTTTATTTCTTGGAGAATTTAAATTTAATAACAATATCTAAGGCTAGTTTTAAACATCTTGATTTCTTTTAGTTAATTCGATTAATGTTCTATAAGTATTTTGGTTCTGTATTTTCCTTAAATCATTAGGT